ATTAATGTCAATAAGAAATGTGAAATCAGGACATCACAAGCCTCCTCATTCCCTAGACTATCAAACCAAGCTGCTCCCCAGAGAAGGGAGAAAAGGGAGAGAACATACACCTAGGTCTCAGTAGGGAAAAAGGAAAAGGTTAGTTTAGATTTTATCTTTGTACTTTTATAAATCTCTCAGAGCTAATTATTCAGTGCTAGAGTGCTTTGGTTTGTATTTCAGCCATTTTATTAATAAAGTTAGTAGGTTTTGTACCATCTGTCTAACCATAGATGCTCTTAAGCATAAGCAAACAAAAGAGTGTAGAAATCCTGCTGGAACAAATAAGTTAATTTTTTTTGTGTCTTTAAAACCAAACCAAAACACACACCTCATGTTGAAGGCTGTCTGTGTCCTTTTGCAAATGTAATGCGCAGGTTATATATAATATGAGGTTGTAGTGCAGTTGTTTTTTTCCTTCATCTTGCAGTTTTCCTATGCTGATTCTCCCTAACTAAAGAAGAAACAAGAGGCAAGGATGTTTAAAGGAGGAGAAGGGGAAAAAAATAAAGAAACATCTGAGCACCTCCTATTGTATGGAAGGAAACGGTTGAAAAATAACCCACAGTGGAGCTTAGTGGCTGCCCACCTGCCTTTTCCTACTGTCATGATTTCTAGAAACATGGCACCATCCTTTCTGATTTTTCAGGGTCTCAGCCATGTCTTCCTTCCTCCATGTTATAGCCAGAGACTATCAATGGTTGTGTTTATTTTACTTTCTCTCTAGCTTATTCCCTTCTACACATGTATGTATTTAATTGCTCTGAAAACAGCTCTAAGTGTAGGAAACAGATAAAATAGCTCTAAGGATAGGGAACAGATTAAAGCCAAGATTAAATGTCTGAAATTGTTCAATAGCTATATTGGTAGAGAAGGTGCTAGCCTGGGATCTACCTGATACCTTGGGAAGTGAGCCCTGCTGATGCTGAATGCTTCTGCACACATCGAAGAGGAACATGGTGGGCACTGGATTATCACCTGTGTACAATTTGCGGGATAGATCAGAAAGCCTAGTTCATCCCTCAAGCCAGAAGTGTTTTGGGGACACAGCTCTTCTTACTTGTCAGGGAGAAAACAATTGGAAACCTTTTTTTTTTTTTCATGTAAGCCGGAATCCCCTAGGTACAAACATATATCATGCTTTCTTGTGTATATAGGTTCCTGTTTAAGAATAGTTTCCTGGCAGTACGCTTCCTTTTGCACTGTACTGTGACAAACTGAGATTCTTCCAATGTCTTTCCAGAAGGAATGCAAAGTTCAGAGCTGGGAGGGATTTGAGTTGTACCCTGTAATTATCATATCTATCCAGATGTCCTTTGCTGTTTTACTGGTGTATGTCATTCAGATTAGAGATTGAGGGTGCTTGGCATTTGCCTCCCAAATCATGCAGCTCAGAGCTGTGTGCCACAAGCACCCAAATTCCTCATCTTTTCATGGTTGCCGTGCTGAGAGATTGCACTATGTCTTTTCTGGGATTTGGGGTGGTGGAGAGAGCAAGGGCTTAAAATTTGAGTTTAAAAAATGGAAACTCTTAGGTGCTGTTTGCCTTTGGGGCACAAGCCTACATCAGTTCTGAAGCTGTGGCTGGTGAAGCTAACCTGCCTTTTAGATAGCAGTGCAGTTGACTTGGGTAAAATGCAGCATCCCCTCATAGCTGCTCAGCAGATAGAAAACTTAACATCGTTCAGAGACGTTTACTTTTTCTGTTTGACAAACTCCCACGCATTCCTTGGAATGTATTTTAGGTGCTTTGCAGAGAGCATTCCCAGGGACTGTTCGAGGCATATCCTGATATTTCCTGAGGGGTCCTAGAATATGCCAGACGCGCTCCAGAGACGAGACAGAGCAGCCATGCTCCTGGAGAGGTTTGGCAGACAGCATTTCCCTGTCACTGCTGGACATCGGTTCTGGTCTGCTCTGATTTATTGAGGTGGCAACGTGCTTTTCATAGATCACGAGCTTTATAGCACTCATGATCTCTTAATATTTCCAGAACGGAATTACCTTTAAGACTTATGGGAACTAAATATCATTTAATTTGCTCTTTTTTGCCCCATATGGATATAATATTTTCCTGAGAACTGTTCCTTTCCCTTCTTAAAGGAAGCAAACGTGTGAATTAAGTCTGTTTCCCTGGCTCTTTGGACAAGAGCGTTAAATATTACTGAGTAACAGTTGGTGTCCTGAGGCTGTTGCATTTTTTTCTAGAAAATTTTCTTTTTTACTTGTAGATAATGCAATAACAAGGCCATTGGTTACTTCACCCTTCTCTTTAGGCACCAATTCAGTCTACTGATTGTCATGTACAGAAGGGACACCAGAGAGGCATCAGATCAGGCCTGATGGTGCTTCACCGGCTTTTGAGGACTGCCCTGGGTAGTCCTAGGAGGATCTGTTCTTCCTCCTGGATTTACCAGGCACCTTATAAGGGGGGATCTGTGTTCATGAGAAACACTACTGCACCTCATACTACCGTAAATTGCCTTTCCCTGGTGTATGACTTGCAAATAGGCCAGTTAATTCCATCTGAAAATAATGCTAACTTCTGAGTCAGGTCTGACGTTACAGCACGCACCTTTTTTCTTGTGAAGTACTTTTGAATAGGTGAACTGAAGTGGCTAATTTGTTTGTTTGTTTTTTATATATCTTTTATTACACTGTGCCACTCTGAAGAATCATTATAGGGAATTCTCTTGATTCTTGAGAGGAGAATAAAACCTGCTCCTACGTGCACTTTCCGAAGCACCGGGTTTTTTCCTGAAGATTGCATATCCCAGCTGTAACCAGAGCAGCTTGGTGACCTAACAAACCAGCCCAAAGCTGTTGGTGACCCTCAGGCAGTGCCATCGTCCTTTGCTGTGGCTGCTGCTTGGGGAAAACAGAAGGTAAAAATGGGGAGCCATTCCATGGGACTTGCCTGCTGCCATCATTTCAAGTGGTAGCTGTAAAGGAGGAGCTGCGAGCATCTGTGCTGTAGCCATTTGGGTTCTAAAAGCTCTTGAATTGTATAAAAAACTTGCAAAGGTTCCTCCTGTTGATATTGGAAGGAGGTGGAGATGACTCCTGGGAGAGACCCAGCAGTGTAACACAATACTTACATTTCAGTGCACCAAGATGCTTGAAAAGTCACCAGTACAAACACAAAGCTAATTTGTCAAGTTATGAAGTTCTTACGATATTTTCAGGGTTTTATTGTATCCGCTTTGCTTGTTGTAGTTGGTTTTAATAGTCCTGTGGGTTGGTTTTTTTGTTTGTTTGTTTTTTACTTAAGATCTTCAGAAGCTGTAATGTATCTGACACATCTTCCCTTCTTCCCTACTTTTTCCTAGATGGAATTATGTAGATCCTTTCATATCCTCAGCCCTTCTTTGGGCTCTGGAAAAACACTCCTTTCTTTCTAGAAGAGCCACATAATCTGTGCGTCCTTCTTTTATGGTTATAGATTGATTATCTTATTAAAGACTGCATGGGTGGATGTGAAGCGGTATGCATGGGCAAGTTTGCATCTTCTATTCTTGATCTGTTAAATACTCTTGGTCTCTCTGTTCCCCATTCCTTGAGACTTCTGCAACCTCAGGTTTACTGGGTGTCTGTGATTGGACAGACAATATTGCAGTTTATAATTCAGAGTTTGTTCCATCATTTCTTCACTGTGCTGCTATCTGAAATTGTGTATACATAGCAGTGGCGTAGTGTAGATGAGTTTATCTTAAATCAGGTAGCTCAGGTCCAATAAGTTACCTGATACACAAGCTGAGGGGGCAGGGTGAAACCATACCCATCGATGGGAACATTGAGCCCACTGCCAGATCAGCCAGGCTGTGCCTCTTTCAGGTAAGTGTACATCCTGTGGCTGTAGTGGAGATGTACTCTGTGACTCTGAACGTGGAGTACATTCCTTTCTTCATCTCTGTAGCACAGCATACTTGATATTGATCCAGAACATCCCTGCTACTGTTCTGGTATGATTGAATGAACAGATTTCTGATGGTATTAACACATTTGCTAGCAGTGATCGGTACATTCAGAAGTGGTCTAATATGGAGGTTTGTATTTCTGTAGTGTTTTTTGTCAAGTGCTAATTGTTTCCTTCTCTCTGGCCACTTTACTAATTGTTTCTAGAAGGGACAAGTTTCGGTAGCTGCTGGGTTTTTCTGTTGAGGGTATAATTAGGATAATGTATTCCCATACTGACATGGTTAAGAAGGACTAGTTCCCTCTTTTGTAAGTGATTTTGGATAGATCACAACTGTTTGGTTTGGCAAGGACATCTCTTGAATCATTTATATGTTAATGAATGCAGAAGAAAACACCTACATCTGTAGTGAATTTCCATTCTCTGTAAACTGAGTGCGACTTCATGATCTCCTGAACTGCTTCCCTTCTTGCCTTTGTTATGATAGCTGCTGTATATGTGCACATGAATGAGGTAGAAGCAGCCTTGAGAGCAGATACCTCCTGCTTTGTTTTCCGCACACCTCTGCCCAGTGCATTCACCCCTGCACAGTACAGCCCTAGTAGCACTCCTGTATGCAATGAACAATGTAAAGGCAGCTCTGCCCCCCTTCCTCGCGGCTTTCACACACTGGCATGGAGATTCCACACATTGGCTTGTGGCTACAAAGCTTGGAGCAAAATCACGTAAACTCTGGTTGCAATTTATAACTCATTGTAACTAAATTAACAGCCAGACAATAGCGGGGAAGTTCAGCATGTCCTAAATCGTTGAATAGAAATGATCATGAGGCTCAGGATTTAAGCGTTTGGGGTGTCCTCATGGCACAGATTATGATGTATTTATTTTACTGCAGGCACCTTTGGTTAAAAGTAAAATCTTCTGTTGCAGTGTTGCCAGTGAGAATGTAAAGTCAGCACTTAGGTATTGATTCTCTCAAGCTCCCTACCAAAATTTATCCTTCCTAGCTAAGGAATTAATTTCTCTCTCTTTTTGATTTCCTCAGGTTTTCGAAGCCGGCACCAATGTTCTTGGATGATTCCTTCAGGAGATGGGCTCGTATCAGGGACTTTGTACCCCCCTTTGGAATTAAAGGACAAGGTATGAGGGAATTATACAGCTGTTGAAAAAGAAGGGGGGCTCTGCAGGTGCTTACCCTGCCATCTTGTTTGTCCAGTTTGAAAGTTCACTTGGTCCCTAGGGCTCTGCTTTTTTTTTTTTTTCCCAGTGTTATAGAAAAATATCGTATGTGCAGCTCTCAGATACTGGGATTTTCACAGCTGGAACGTGGACCTCAGAGGCTGGGATTAGGGAGGATGGGTTAGTACACAGGGAGAGTCAGTGCAGCAATGGCAGTTTTGACCTACCACCACATTCTGGAAGAAGTGTTTTGACATTGACTGCCATAGTTTGTAGCATCTTGGCTGACAGCATCAGAGAGAGTCCAAATTGATTTAAAGTACTTTTTAACCAGTAATTTGCTAAAGAAAGGTGAGGCTCATCTTTCTGAAGTTTTGGATCCTTGGGTTGACCACTGACACAAATCTTCTCATAGTGTTTGGTCATAACGATTTTAAAATTGTGCTACTTGTGCACTTGTATAGCAAATAAGAGAAATCTATTCAGATGCCTTGGCGATGATTTGCAATATATCCTGTCCTCCAGCTGGAGCATGGTGGAAGGAGTTGCATTTCAGGTATGCTGTGGGACAGCAGGAGTGGTGCTGCTGGGGATGAGATGGGAATCAGTAGCCCACCCAGCAGGTGGTGTATTTTGTGGGTGGCACACACTCCCCCCTGTCCTGTATGTGGCACCAAAGGCCTCTCTGGGCAAGTGGTGGTGGAGCAGAAGAGACGTGCTCATAGCAGTGATTTTCTGCAGCCATCCTGGATTCTGATGTGTTTATTAAGTTTATTATTAAGTTTATTATGTTGGTGGCATTGCATCAGTTCCCATGATTTTTTTTGTCCCCTGACAAACTCAAGATTGCAGTTGGCTGGCCTCACCCTAGGGATCCAAATACCTGGGGCAGGAAGGACTGCAGCCACACAAGGCTTGAATCTGGCTGTCTCTCTCCCTGGCCCTGGAAGCAGATGTGGTAGTTGTCTGTCAGAACAGTCTCTGATCAAAACAAGGACTGGACTGACAAATTTCTTCTGGCTCACATTAATTCCCTTCTTTGTTTTGCATACGTCCATTTCTTGTCCAGTCAGTCTTTTGCAACTCAATAGTCAACTAATTGCTGTCCTCTAAATCAACAAGCAAAGGTTCCTGTAAAGGCTGTAAGAAATAACACTGGCAGCACAAGTGGAAGCCTGCATTGACCACAGGAGGGCTAGTCCCCTGCTAATGGGTGCACAAGGTGTGCAAAGCTAGGGCACGCTGCCTGACCAACGTGGAGGTGGGATTTGCAGATTACACATGATGTCAGCCAGACTTAATAAAAATCATTCCGTTAAACTGAATCCAAATGGAGAAATTCACCAAAAGGGGATGACGGAATGGCTCTGGCAGCCTTTTTCCTGGGTTTGTTGCCAGCTTGTATCACCACCGCAATGTTATGTAAATCTGGTGTTTTATATTGGATTTCCTCAGTTAAAAAGAGAAATGAGAAATTGCCATTATTTAAATGGCTGAGAGCCGAAGCCATGGGACGGAAACAGTTGAATGGGTTATTTTTTTAATGCCCTCCCGGGACTGGATTTTGTGCCAAGTTTCAGTCTGGAGCAAGTTCTGTGTGTGGGAGGGTTGAATTATAAATCTCTGTAAGGCAGGATTTCTAATGGCTGTGCTGACAGCCTGCGAGTCCTAGCGATGCGAATGGCGCCCTTTCATGTTCCACATCACTTGGAATTCTTGCATCAGTCTTTTCTGGCCGGTCCCGCGGGACACGTTCGGGCTCAGCTGAGTGATTGGATGATGGGATCAGCACCTCATTAGGGCTTTCAGTCAGGGCAATCTTAACGATATCCAAACAACCGACCTAGGCAGGCAGCGGGGAGATAAGTCACGTGCTGGTGCGAGATGAAGTCTATCGGAGTGGGATGTGCATGGGAAAAAGCGTAGTCAGGGTGACTGAGAAAGTGTGGAGAGACGTGCCTGTGTTGAAACAGATGGGGCAGGAGTTTTGCTCTGTGCATATAGGAAGCCCAGTGACGCTAACAGCTGGGATTTCCGACGTGAATCACGCTGTGAAAGGTGGCTGGTGTTTACGGACACCGATTGTAACTGCCGTGGTAATGGGAAGATTTTGCTGAGAACTTTGGTGAATATTCCCCAATGTTTTCAAGTTGCTGTGACCTAGTCCAAGAGCAAAAATTTTTTGTGTGAAATATAGTTACAGGATGAGCTCACTTTCAGTAATGCTGCATATTCCAAGAAACTCATAGGAACTTCTCAGTGGCAGCTTGAAAGTACCGAAGTTAGGAAATAAGAGATTCTGAGCAGCTTGGAAGATAACAGCACCATTTCAGCTTTCTTTTATTAAACTTTCCTCCTCTTCTTCAGACTTCTAGCGAAAAGGTTTTCAAACTCATAGCTAAGTTTTACTTCTGAAATGAACTATTGCATTTCATGTCAGATTGGAAACTGCTGCTACCGTCAGTTAACCACCTCAGTCAGCTAAATGAAAGAAGCATGGGTATAAGCAGGTGGCTTCCCTGCTTCTTTATTAACAGGAGTTTCTGAAATGAGGTGACAAGTAGGAAGTCTTGTGCAAACTCTTTTTGAACAGTAGTCCATGAGTGCCCTATACAACAAATCAGGTGAAGAGGGTTTTATGAGATGCAGTTGTACTTGTTTCTTAAACTGTCTTAAACAGGCAGGGAGTTCTTGTGCGTGCTGACTCTGATGCCACTGTTCACCAAAGACTTGGACTGAGAATTGATCCTAATTACCTGATCCCCATCCCCAGCTACTTGGGACAAAAGCAGAGCTGAGAACTGTCAGGAGTGTTGGAGCTGATATAGCAGACTGAAGGTGTCATTACATTCATCACACGTCTATTGCTCTCTCAGTGTGCAAATAAGGAAATTAATTTAAATTAATGTCATATTTTTTGAAGAAGCATGAGTGTATTTGCTCATAGGTTTTAACACCACAAAGGGCCTCTACTAATGTCTGGCTGTTTGTGTAACAGTGGCGCTAGGTTTCACCCCGTGACTTCTGCAGCCATGAGACTGTTTTTCAGAATCCAAGTCAAGACTTTCTAAATGATGAAGAATGACCACATTGTTGAACAGGAGACACTGTCACATTTGACTGTGTTTACTATAAGAAATAAAATTGTTAGTGCCATGATGAGCTTTGTTGTCTCTTACTACGTGACTTGACAGAACCTAGAAATGGGATGTGCCTCTGTGAGTGTTTGGAAATAATGATTGCATCTCTATTAATAAATAAAATAGTTGTCCTCTGGAACTGAAGGCAGTTGAGCTCATTGTTCAAACAGGTTAACTCCCCATGGCCCCCCTCACTCCCCTACAAAGAAAAAGAGGGTGGTTATATTTAGGCTTCCTATCAAGAAAGGTCATTCACCTATATTAGCCTCTGAACCTGTGAATGAATTAGAATAATGCAAATGTCCTGGTGGAGAGCTGCAGGGACTGTGCTAGCAATTTAATAGGGCACTTGTGGGACAGCGTGGGCCCTTGCCCTGCTGCCTGTTTGTTTATTAGCGTGTATGCAGCCAAAGTGAGGGTTATCCTTCAGGAACATGATGAAATTAGTCAGCTTTGAGAGTTGTCAAGAAGATCAAATTGTTAACAAGAAGCTGGAACTGTAAAAGCTACAGATGTCAAGATGTCCTGTGGGGGACATCTCAAACCGCTGAGCACCCTCCTGTGTCCCAGGCTATTGTTTCAGCGCTGCCTTGGATGTTGGAGTGCCTCCCGCGTTTCATCATTTGCTGGGGTCTAATTTGCTCTTAGGAATGCTTCTTTCCCAGCACTCACCAGGCCTGCTCTTGTAGCTTTTTCTGTGAAGAACAAGGAGATTGGTTGGGTTTTAGTTTAAAATGAAATTTCTGCTCGTGTATTTGCACTCTTTTCTAGCAGTGCTTCTATCAGTGTGGCTTAGGGAGGTATGCACATGCACGTGTTGTCCATATTGTTGCAGATCCTCTGGCAAGTGCACTGCTTTCAGGGTTAAATTTGTCAATGAATAAGCAATGGAAAAATAGTTTATAGTGTTAGTGAGATTATTAATCCCAGAGGGCCTCCTCCCCAAATTTACCTCTCTAGCTAAAGCAAAAGGAAAGAGTTATTTGAAGAAGGGCAGCAAACAAGACTGGAGAAATACCTGGCTATTAATAGCATTTCTCAGTACATGTGGCTTAAAGAATATAGAAGGCTTTCCTAAGAAATAGTAGCTAGTATCTGGCATCATCTCTGTGTAATAAGGACGGGAGTTTGCTGGAGTTTTTATTTTGAACTTAAGCAAAAACATATGGCATAGCATATGCTTAAAAACCTAAACAACTATGATACATGTAATATCTCCTTCATGCGTTTAGTCATTGTGTCACTGCATAGCAGTAATTGTGTGTCCTCACATCTACCTTTGCTCCTGCTAGATCACTGTAAGCAGAGAGGCTGTTTTGTTGGCCCAGGATCAGTTTGTCTTTGAAGGCATTACTTATTTCTCACTATCATGCCACCATCTCAGAATTTGCTCTCACCACCAATTTACAAAGCCATTTCACCCCCACTGTAGTATGAGAATATTTTAAGAACATGAGAATATTAAGAACATACTTGAAATGCTACAGTTTTATTGAATGTAATAAGTTGTAGTACTGGCCAGGAGACTTTGTATTTTCATCTGATACAAGAGAGACGTTGCCCAGAGCACCAATACTAATATATTGTGCAATGGTTAATTGTTCTCATACTTGGTTTTATTTGGATGTTTTTCTTTGTGTGAATGCTGCTGGGAAGAACCATGGTTCAGTGCTGCTTAGCAGTGTTTTCATTAGTCTCATGGGGGAGAGGTCATGCATCTTCAGTGAAAATGTTGAGTTTTCGGGCGTGCAGAAGTTGGTATAGCAAAATGTTATCAGGAAAAAAAATCTCTTTTCTTTTCATGCATGTTCTTTTCTTGCA